GCAGGTAAAAGGGGCCATGGGTGATTTTTATATAGGTTTTCTGGGAAGGTCTCTGGGGAGCTAACATTTAAGCAGAGGCCCCCAAAAAAGGTAAGGAGGAAAACATACAAGTATCTGAGAGAAAGAATACACCATGAGGAATATAACAGGACGGACTTGTTATACACAAAAGTTGCCTCAAATCCCTTCTGGAAAGAGACAGAGTGAATCACTCTTATCTACCTTCTCTACCAAACATGGACAGACGACTTAAGAAACAGGAAAGGAGAGGCAGGTAAAGGGTTTTTTGAAGTGTGGCAGGCTATATAAACATAAGGTAATGCTATTTATTAGTCACTGGTTTCCAGTCAACAATCAGGATCAATAATGCACCCTCACTGGAAGGCCTTACCCACAAATAAAATTGGTGCTGCCTGAGTTCAAAAGCTAATTGAAACGCCAACAGTGCTCAGATTCTGTGGTTACTTGGGGCACCTGGCTAACCTGCTCAAAACCTATGCAAGGCCTGCAGTCCACATGCTCACATAGTCTCATATATACCATTTCCCGCTACATTTGATTAGATGAAACTGCAATCTCCTAACCAGGATGTGACTTGAAGTCCTTTATTTATGAGGAAGTCACTGCTTCAAAAATTCCTTAGGTTTTGGCAATTGTTCAACCAAATTCATTACAATGGGTTGACTTTATTTCCAGGACCGGTAAAATCCTAATTGGGTAGCAAGGAAGGGAATCCTCAGCTATGAGGATGTTCTTGTTCAAACGTTCTAACCTTCCAGCTTCTCTTACATTTTTCCTCAAATCTAACTTCAGGGGATAATCGAGAACATGCACGCACAAATTCAGTCTGAATATGGCATTTTGGAGGAAAACCCCCAGCTGAGTACACATGAGTGTGTTTCAGCTTTGCCAGAAGAGAAGTGGTTATGCATTATACATGGACTATAAAGACGTTTTTTGTAAGCCTTCCTTTAAAATGTTTGAGTTTTAGAACTTAAAATGTTCCATGTGTTTAGTATTTCTTGTTCAGCTAGACTAAAGAAAAGTGGTTGAAAATTCTGTCTCAGCATACATGTGGTATATTTCAGGAATGTTTAATATATTATTATTTCTGGAGCAATGGAGTTTGCAAACAGAGCTTTTACACTCATTGCAAGTTGTAGTCAGGGGGTCCATTTATTCAGCACATATTTTTGTTGAGTACCTACTATGTGCCCAGCCCCATTTTAGGTATGGAAGATACAACAGTACACAAAGCCCGCATTTTACAGAAAACAGGCCATAGATAAATTTATAAATAAATATAAAGCAATGTCAGGTACATTATATTCTTTCTGCTTTAGGCTGGAAAGGGAACATGAGAAGGACTGCTGTTTCAGAGGAAAAGCCAGCTCTCCTGAAGTCTCATTTGAATAAAGACAATGAATTCTTTCGGTTACCTGGGGGAAAGAAGTGGCCAGGCAGATGGAGTGCCCCAGGCACTGCTGGAGTTCCTGGAAAGGCCTGCAGGCCATGTGGCCTGGGCAGAATGAGAGAGGGAAAGCAAGCAGTCAGAAATGAGGTCTTACATAAAAAAACATATGTCAGAATGTCCCTGGTGCCCCCAAAGTGGCAGGACTACTGAGTCCACAGTTCAGCTTCATTTCTTGGAGGTTCAAACAATGATAACAAATCGCAAGGAAAGCCTGCTATTAAATTATAGTCACCTTACTATATATATTTGGAAAAAAAATGCATATTTGTTGTTTTTTTTCTCCTGGACCCAGGTATTTTTATTTTACTTTACTTTATTTTATTTTATTATCCTCGCCCTAGGGCATGCTTATTGATTTTAGAGAAAGGAAGGGAGGGAGAGACAGAGGTAGTGAACCATGGTTGTGAGAGAGAAACATGATTGTTTTTGTGTCTTGCACATGCCTTGACTAGGAACCAAACCCACAACCGGGAATCAAACCTGAGACCTTTGAGTTCATGGCATGATGCTCCAACCAACTGAGCCATAGCAGCCGGGACCTCCTGGGCCCATTTACCGGTGAATTTCTCCTGCATTTCTTGACTCCTCTCCCTACTCAATTTCTCCCATATTTCAAAGATGAATTGAAGCTCTTTGAGAACCCTCCCTGAAATCCTCTGGCAGACACTAAGTGGCTCTGTGACCAGAGGCTTTGACAGAGGACTTGCTCACCATCAGTAGACTGGTGTTCAGAAAAACTCTAAAACTGAATGCGAAAGAATCTCTGTAATTTTCTGTATGTGTTTTCCTGATAAGAGTGTCCACAAGTCCCACAAGATTTTAAAATGAGTCTGTGACTTAAAAATATTGAAACCACTGCTCTTGACTAGGGCTTCTCAAACCTCAAATGTGCACACAAACCATCTACATTTCTCTAAGATGAAGGTTCCACTTCAGTAGCTCTGGCGTGAGCCTTGCTGTTACTTGTCCCAGGACCACATTTGGTGACAAGAGGCTAGAATATTTCTAGTCAGCACTTGCATGCACTGGCATGTTCTCGCTGCCCCTTAAGTAGATTGCAGGTTTCTGGACACCAAGTGTACTTAATGCTGACACTTCTTGGCTCTTCTCCACAGTCAGAACTAACAGAAAAAATAAATAGCCCACCTCTGGGCCTGACAGATGCTTGCTCTACAGATGTTAGTGCATTAATTGAACCTGATTAAAATATTTTCTCTATATTCACTATCTTAGTCTCACTTAGGCTTCTAAGGTTACCATCAATTTTTCAAGGCCAAACCTTTCTCTAATTCATAGTAGAACCTCAGAACCCCGAAATCTTCCTAAAGCAAAGCTTTTCTCTCTCTTCCTTATGAAAACCAAAATCCATTAAACTCGGAAACCATCATAGTACAGGAAAGGCTCTCATTGGAAAGAATAATTCATTACATTAGGGCAGTCTTCCTCACTGGAGATGGTCAGTACTAAGAAAGATGTTCAGCACAAATATGTAGTGTAGAGGGCATCAAAGAAGCCAGGATAAATCAAATCAACATTACTGGGCCCTTGAAGAGGCAGGTTCTAGATGAATTGCTTAGAGCCCAGATGTGAAGCTTCATGAAGGAAGGACAGAGAGCGACAGTCTCTAGAAAGTGAGGAATGGTGCAGAAAGTGAAAATAGGGTTTTGGAATACGACTGCTACCTCAAAGAACCTTCCACTCTGTTTGCAGAAGCTATAAAAGAAGTTATGTACTTAGTCATGTTAACAGCAGTTAACAATAGAGACAATGAAAACAATTCTACAAACAAGACATGTGTAAAGAATGTTTTTGTGTGTGCAAAAATTTTTTTCATATGGTATTTAATATATACATACTATTTGTACTTATGAAAATACCATATGCAATGAAAGCTATGCATATTTATAGAAACACTTCAAGTGGGCCAGTACCATTTAATATTTTCCAATAAATTCATATATATATATATATATATATATGTGCCAAAGGGAACATATATTTTGAAATATGAACCCGAAGTAAAACTCTCAGGAATCTGGAGTAAAATCCAGGTATCTGCCAAAGGAAACTTTGGAGCAATTGCCATTTGCAGAGAGGAAACAATGCCCGGTCTCTTATCTCCATGGACTGTTTTGCTTGTCAGATTTCTAACATCACTTCAGCTGAGTCTTGTATTTGACTTCCAACCTCCTGGCCATTTGACCCGACAACTATTATTTTCTTTGAGGCTTTTAATGCTCCACCCAAGTATTTTACTTTCCAGAGCAGTTGTGTCCGTTTCCTTCTCACTTCACCTTAACGTCAGCGGTGTGTTACAACACGGTTTAACGAGCATCCTCTAAGGTTTCAGAAAGACCCAAGGGCGTTGCGGTGCTGACCCGCAGCTAATAACGCACTGGAAAGTCAAGGTCTCCCGAAGGGTCTCTGCTTTGTGCCGGGATTTCCATCCAACCTTAAAGTAGTTGGCCTGGGGCCAGGCCCGCAGCGCCGGACTCTCCCGGGTTCCAGTCTCCTCCCCAGGCCTACGGTGAGAGCTGGAACCTCACAGCCGGAAAACACCGCCCTTTCCTGTCGCCTACTCATTCATTCCCCAGGGCGACGACTCGAGGAGGAAGAGACGGAGACGGATTAAGAAAATTAATTAACCGGGTGCTCGGTCGGCCTCCGGGCGGAGGGGCAGGGCGTGCAGCGGCGGTCGCCGGAATGACCGGCAGGCGCAGGTGTCCCGAAGGGAGAAATTTCACGCTCCCGGCCAGCAGCTGTGCCACTTGCGCCTTGTCGCGCGTCGGTGAAGCCGCTACCCGCTTGCCCCAGCTTTAGGCAAGTCTCTTTTAGGGACCCGCGGGAGAAAAAACACCTCCTCGTGGACTGGGAAAACCTGCTGCGTCGGCTGTTCGCGTGCCCACTGGCTCAGCCTGTAGCTTGGATGTCTCCAGTCTGCCAAATCCACTCTCCGGGTTTTGGCGACAGCTCCAAAGGGGAGCGAGGTGGAAACTGACCGAACACGACCCTCCTCCCCTAGCCCGGGATCCCAGTAGTCCGGGGACCCGCAGCCAAGCAAGGGCAGCACGGTCAGGTGGCGCTATTTCTCCTCTGCCCGCCCGCCACGCCGGAACCTCTGTGGGCTAGGTCGACTTGTTGGGACAAGGAGAGGTGGGCGCACGATTAGTGCAGGTGTCTGGGTTGCCAGCGGAGTCCCTTTGTCCTTGGTTACCGCTCCCCGGGATCCCTTTTTGAACTGAGCATTCGGAGACCTCTCTTTGTGAGGAGGGAGCTGAACGCAGCTTCTCGGAGGGAAGCCACATTCCCTAGAGGTGGCGCTGGGGAGGTAACAATGGGAGCCCATTGTCCTCCGTGAGCCCGCAGGCCCAGACTTCGGGGATCCTCGCCAGTCCGCCCGCCCAGAGGCGCGGCGCAGGTACTGATTTCGGGTGGGTTCGCTCGGCCTCCCGCGCTCTCCGCCCCGCCCCGCCCCGGTCCGCCCCTGGAGCAGCAGCCCCGCCCCGCCCCGCCCTTCGCAGGTTCAGTGCCGGAGTCCGGCCGACGCGCGCACAGTCTTGCTCGCACCTTCGCTCCCTGCGGCGTCTGCAGCCGGCAGTGCCGTGACGGGGTCCGACAGGCGGGCGATCCTGGAAACCAGCGACATCGGGCGCCTTCACGCTGTGTGGGAGAAGCTAAAGCTGTGAGGAGGCGCCGCGCCAGCCCACCAGCGGGTAACAGACTAGGACTGCGTGCGCCCTCGTAGGCGTTGCTGCCGGGCGCCGGGTCCTGGGGCAGCGGCTGCGATCCTTGGGGGCTGCTGGTGAGTTGCTGCTTGCCCACGGATCCTTCCTCATTGTTTGTCTGTGAGACCGTCGGATCGGCGTCCCTGGCCGCTTCCGGCGTGCGCGGGGTGCTGGGCTTGGAAACGCGCTGGGAGTGAGGATACTAGGGCATCACCTTCCAGCTGGTGTCCAAAGGACAAAAGGGGACATAAAGTACTCCGACAGGGGTCCGGGCGCCACGACCAGGGTGCAGACATCCACTATTGGGACCCACCACTTTTCAGGGTGGGGCTGCACGTTTACTGCATCCTTCGAGCTATTGACAGCCATTCGGGGAGCGTATTGCGTTTTTCCATCTGAGAACAAGCCGCACATGGCTGGCTGCCGCTCCCCTCCCATCGTGGACTCGCACCAGGGCCGCACACGGGTGCGCCGTGCAGATCTGCGGTGGAGTGCCCTTTCCTCACTTTTACGGTTAGGGGAGGAAGACTTGTGGCCGGAGCTCCAGCCTACAGATCTGGCAGTTGGTTAGTTTTTTATCTTTTTGTCGGTGGTTTCCGAATAGCTGAAGCGTTTTCAAGATTTCTTTTTCTTCTTGAAACTAAGTGCCTTGACACAGACAAGTATCAGACATGTAAGGAAGAATGGATCTGGCCACTCAGTTCTTCGTTTTTGAATTATTATACTCCATCCCCCTCTCGACTTTGGGGAGGCATGTGTTTCATCTTATAAATAGAAAGTAGCATATTTTTTTGGCAGGACCTCCTTTATACTGTACAGTCTAGGAGAGGTCAGTTTAAAAATAAATATGCACTTGAATGTTACATTACCGAGAGCCAGGCTATGGCTGGGACAAGCTGCGTGGACAGCAGCATCAAAGCCGGGAGCGCAGCTGTGTTGAAAGGAGTAAAAGCCCCAGAGTGCAGCCCAGGCTGACAGTCAAATAATTACATTTTGTTTAAAAAAAAAAAAGTGAGTGAATTAAAATGAGGGCGGGAATAGGAATGTCAGGAGGATATGGCAATCGGAATCGTTCAGCCCTGGTGTGTTTGGGGAGTCGCTGCTGATGTCTGCTGAGGGTGTAGAGGGTTCTGGGGAGGGCGGTGCTGGGTAGGGGGAGGGAACTGATGAATGTGTTAAGTAGACAAAGATTTCTCCTCCTCTCAGCCCCCAGTTTACTGACTTTAAAAACAAAAACAAAAATTAGGTGAGCAGCAGATGTCATTTGAATGGCAAAACCAGTTTTGTAGACTTACCTTCCTGAGGATGCCCCTAGGCACCAATTTAAAAGACTCCTGTAATGTTCTAATTTGGAAAAGATCTTTCATCTAGCTACTAGAAAGCACATTTTCTTTTCTGGACAGTTCATTGATACCACCTGTAGTTTGTATCAGCTCTTATTGGCATTAACAGTAAGCTATACAGGTATGTGTGTGACAGATTCTTTCCAGAGTGGATTTAAACACTCAGATGTAAGTTGGCACTTGTGAAATGTTTGGCACTGTCACGCGTGAAGTCATTGTAAAGACTGTGTAGGCAAGAAGGGGTTAAAAGTTCTTCATTAAGCTTCCCAAAGAATGTAGGTTTCCCCATAGGCCTCACTCATTGAATGAAGCACTCAGTACCAGCCTCTGGGCCCACCAATGGGAACTCTGGGAGAAGTTCTGAGTCCATGGCAGTTTCCGCTTTCCAGTAGTGTCATCGGCAAGAGGTTCGGATTACGAATTCCGTGATTAGAACCTGGTGCCACGGCTGTGGGAGCAGCTACAGACGTGCCATGAGATGAACTCCCCCTTCTCTCAAAATCCGAGCAGTGAAATTCTGTTTTGTGAAGACAGCTAGAATAATGAGTACTGCACATTTATGTTGTTGCCTTTTATTGTAAATGTAAATGCCATGCACGTCGAGTACGTACAAAGCCATAACATTTATTGCAGAGTGCTCACATGAGCTCACGTGTGCTCTCTGCGAGACAGCTCTCCCTTTAATGTGGTTTTATGTCCCGCATGTTCACAGAAGCTTCCCTGTTTCACTTCTAAAATCCGTGGTATTCAGCAGCATCGGGAATAACGTGGTTTTGATCCACGTTGCCCAAAGATTTTTAGCAGGACAAACAGTTTTTAAAGCTCCTCGGCCAGTAGTGGTAACATTTGTCCAGTAGGTGGACTACTGCTCATAACCCAGAAAACCTCCTGCAGATGTCCGCACTGTTCTGATTATTTTAATGATTCAAATTCTTGCTTTCAGTCTGATTTCATTTAGGCCTTGCCTAATTTCTTTCTAACAGGATACCTGTAGACCTGTTTATTCATTGGTTGAATCAGAACTTAAATCTATTTTTAAATGCTGTATGTTTGCCAGAGAACAAGTAGCATCATTTGAAACTAGGGGGTTCGGCCAGCCACAAAATCTCCTTTACTGAGCTCTGACACCCAAGATTTCTAATACATCACGCTGTTCATGACTTCGGGCGCTACTGGTCCTTCCCACGTGGACCTTGTCCTAAGCACCAAGCACTCTTCTTATCCTTTTATCCTGACTAACTCATTTATTTCTAACAATCCTGTGTGGGAAGAACTGCTAATATCTGCCTTTTACAGGTGTGGAAACTGAGGACAGAACCTGTCATATAACTTGCCCCCCAAGTACACAGTAAGGAACATACCTAAACACATATGCAGGATGGGGGCAAAGGTAGGTTTACAGTTGTTCAAATGGAAAAAAGTACAATTAATAAATAATAACACAAGAATAAACTGTTCCACATACTCAAACTGTAAACCTACTTTTGTCCCACCCTGTGTGCAGTTTAGCAACCCAATAGGCACAAATATGAGTGGCTAGTCCTGCATGAAAGTCAGCACCTCTTTGGGGTAAGGAGATGGGAAAACATCCCAAGGTTAAGAAATGTCTCTAAGACAGGCTGCCTGGACTCCCATCCTAGCACTGACACTTCATACGTGTGTGACTTGGGGCGAGTTACTTAACCTGTGTAACTCAGTTTAGCAATTATAAAATGGGGACACTAATATTACTCTGAGGACAGAATGAGTTAAAAATACAAGGCACTCAGAACAAGTACCTGGTCCAGAGCAGGCACAATAAAATGTCAATGCTTTTGTTGTTTTCCTAGGTGCTTAATACTGGCTCATTATCAATATTCATATGTACTCTTTGAGATAGATAGTATTGTTCTTATTTTCCAGCCAACAACACACGCTCAGGAAGGCTGAGTAACTTGGCCAAGGTCACACAGCTAAGGAAGAAGCAGAATCAGGTTTCTTTGAGCTTGTGCAAAATGCCACACCCCACAGGAAGGTCGGGGAAGCTTATGACATCTGACTCTTGCTGGAGGTTTTGGCCTCTGGCAAAGAACTCATTTCTTAGTACTCTGTATCTCACAATACCAGGCCCAAAGGAAGATGACAGTAATTTCCAGCATTGGGGAATGCCCTTAGAATGGTTTTATTGTTGAAGGTGGTTCAGTCCCATCGGGTGTGGCAGCAGTCTCCTGCACAGGGTCCAGCATCAAACTGCTGGAATTAACACAAGCAGTTAAATTTGTACCAAGGTGTTTCTCTAGGTGAAAATGTAGGACTCTGGAACACACACGAAAGTGCTGGCCCAGCCAAGAACAGGGCATTTCAGGGGCCAAGGATGGGGTGGGGCTTAGTACAGACTGTATCCTTGCTTCAGAGTTCTAGAAAGTCAGGGGTGGCAGGGTGCAGTGAGCAGTTTGGATGGCTACCTCCTTGAGCCTACTGACCACATCCACAGTGCATGGCTCTTCAGTCCCTGACTCTCAGGTGGCATTTTATGTATATGTCATAATGATGTTGCTTCAAAATGAGCTAAAGCAAGAGAATGAAAGCAAGAAGCAGGAGACCTGCTGAAACTGGGCAGGAAGATCTGCCCTTGGCAGGAGTCAGGCCTCATTGCTATACCCCAGGCCCCGCCAGATAAGCTTCTGGCAGGAGAGATAGTGAGGAGGCCTTTGAAACCTAGAGGGATGCTCTGGGTAACTTGTGGGGGACCTGCCTGGCCTCCCCTGCCTTTGATATTGTGGGTTTGTGATTGGCTGTGGGAGGCTGCTCAGGTGACTGTGTTCAGACTGAAGCTGGGGTTCTCAGAAGGGTGGCTTAAAGTAACCCAGTGCCTCAAAGCCAAGGGCAATAGCCTTAGAACCGTCTACCCTCCATTCAGACACCTCCCTTCCTTCTGCCTTCACCCTTTAAAGGCTACAAAATGAAATGGCATCCCACAAATGAGAATAAGTAAGTAGCCAAATAGTTCTGTCGCAGTAATCACATGTGTTTCTTTTCTTTAAAAAGAGAAAAAAAAAAAGCCTCCTTGGCCTCGATATACTTCTTCACTGCCAAGCTGTACCCATCTCTTGATGATGGACAGTACCTCTGGTGGAAAAGCAGTTTTTAAAATGAAACCATACAATTTTATAATACGAAGCATAATGTTGGTATTACTAGAAGTTCACTATTTCTGAGCAACCCAGCCAACTGAAGAATTTGAATGCTGATAAGTTCCAAGCTAATGTTTGCTTGATCCTTCATGCTTGCCCAAGTCTTGAATTAATAGCAGAATCATGAAATTGCAAACTGAAAAACACCCAGCTTTTTGGTGACTTGGGTTTTCCTTGTGTGTTTGAGAAAGTCATCACTAGCCTTCTAGCCCCTGGTTCTTTGTCAGATAACACACCTGCCATTGGCTAATACAGCACCACCTATCTGTGTGTGTGCCTGGAAACGTCAGAAAAGGATTCTTTGGGAAACCAGTTTGATTAAGGTCCCTATTGGCAGGACTTTTCAGAGCATTTAGCATGTGACTGTGTGCAGTGAATCTTCCCAGGAAGATAGTGTCCAGCCTCTCTCAAGTCCTTTTCCCCACGGAGCCCCTGGCAGGACTGGTCTGACAGGACACACTCTGGGAACCCTGGGCCACAGGCAGAAGCCACACACTGCAATCTGCCCACAGAGCAGGAGCCTCCCAAGGAATTTTAGAGAACCGCCAGGTGTGCAGGAAC